TTAAAGCTTATTCAAACTTTTTATTGTTGAGAAGGAAAACAAATTTCTGAGCAAAAACTAAATTTAACCCTTTGACGGTCTCATGTCAAACTGCATCCGATCCTGCATGTTACTGATTTGTATTTATCCTAAATTAATTCTTCTTATTTATATTGTATTGTATTGTATTAGAAGTTTCAGTGTTAATGAATAAGATGATTTCTTTACACAAAGTCGAGTTGAAGAATATTTTCTTTATGTCGTAAAACACTGAGTTAGCTACAGTGTTAAGTGAATCATTTTTGGTGCCTGGATTCACAAAATTTCTTACGGAATATTTATAAAGATCTATTTCTTATTTTGCTTATTTGCTTGAATAAGTACCACAACTCTTATATCCTTAGAATGACATAATTAGTTATGTATAATGGAATAAAAAGGCTTGCTCTTCAATTGCGTTAGTTCTCTTTACGCCTGGTCAGGGACTAGGCGTAAAGGTTAGTTTCGGCCGGCCTCTTCTTCGTTTTCCCACCTGTGCCCATGACGGAGATACTCTCGTTGAATTTTTATTGAATTAATTTATAAAAATGTAATTAGTTTTCAATTTTGCAAAGGAAAATAGACAAGTCTAAGCTATCGTAACTTCATTTACGAGTTCACTGGAAAAGCATCAATGATCAATCAGTTAGATGGCAACCAATAGGAATAAGCCTTCATTGGAATGGAAATACTTATCGTCCAATAGGAATAGTGCAAACAGTTAGTTTCCATTCTCTATCACAAAATTACGGCAATTGATTGATTTATCCTACTCAAGGATGCAGTTAAGCGCCTGTCTTTGACATCTCTATTGACATTTGTAAGAAACTGGAGGAAATGAAAGTTTTGTTTACCATCTGTTGATATAACATTTCTCTTACAGCCACGACAAGAGGCTTCTGCAGCAAGAACCACACTGCTGCCAACGTAAGTATTTTGCAATTTTTGTGTCAATTATTTTTTATATGCGCATTTACTTTTTACTTTACATATTTAAGAATGCTTCTTCATATTAAATTATGGTTTTTTTATTAGCAACTAGCCACATAGTTAAAATTAAAGAAAAATAAATAACAGTTTTCAATCAAAGATAATTTAAATTTTTCAATTCGAAAATATCAATAAAAAATATGCTTCAAATTGAAATTTGAAAAATTCAATTTTTAATTTGAAGCATATTTTTTATTTTAGTTAAAAAAGAATTTGCACAATTTGAGGATTTCGTATTTGAAGAAATTTTGTACAAAAATCAGATTTTCGAGGGGGAAAAAATGTTTTTTTTTCTACCTTATGTCCATGCATTAAGGATTTCGCACTAAAAATTGGAAATGTTAATAATACTGAATGGTATACTGCAAAAACATTAAACTACTGTATTTGATTTTTTTAATGAAATTAAAATTCTTTTGTTAAAATAAAAATTTAATTAGTAAAGATTTTCCAAATTTCACAACGTAGGCTATTTATTTGGAAATATGACTGAAATTTAAACTTTCATCAGCCTGCGAAGAGTCAGACGTTGTACGATATCAGTACTCTTCAAATCATTCTACCGTAAAGCAAGACTTAGCGTGCAAGTCATCGGGCTACCAAAGCGGAAGAGTAATTCTCTCTGAGGAGGATTAAGATTATGATGGCATGTCTTCGGATCATTTTCAGGATTGTTTCGCCGTCGCCAATGGCCCATTGCGCAGCTCTAGTGCGACGTAAATTAAGTACTACCTCTAATTTCAGTTTCACCAAAAAAAGTTAATTATGAAAAAAAATAGCTATGTCAACGACGATTCGAATAGTGCCGCATGCAAGAATGCGAGCCCAAAATTAATGCATTTCTGTTTACAATTAGAACTTAATTTTATCACAAAATTACGGGGTTAAACAGCAATAAATCCAGAGATTTCGAATTTTCTTTGAAAAATTAACAAGATTTTTTAAAACTTCTAAATTTTTTAAAAATTTTAATTTTATAAACATTAATATTTATTTATTATTTTAAATTACTAATAGTAGTACTTACGACGCGCACTAGAGCTGCGAAAATTACGTTTAATTAAAATTACAAAAAATATTTATATTTGAAAGATGTTTTCAAAACATGTTTTATGTAATGTATTTAAACGAAATGTTTCATTAAATTTCAAATTGTTCTGATTTTATATAGTGTGCAAAGAATATTTTTGAGTTCAGTATGACAAAGGGAAAATTCCATTTGAAAGAATTTTTATGTGATAGAAATGTACCAACTTAAATGGAAATAAAATCCTTACATAAAATTACTTTCAAAATAAAAAAAAATACTTTTAAGAGAGGAAGCAGAAATTAGATGTCGAATGTATGTTAAACCCCTTCAGAAGTACGTATAAGTATTAATACGAGATGTAAATTAAGAGTAAGAAACTCTGAATACTTTTAGCTCAATTTCAACCTTCCAATGTAAAAAAAAAAGAAAGCTTTCTGAACTTAAACAAAGCGAAATCGTCCTTAATTAAGAAAATATCAAAATATCATTTATATATTTACCAATGTAATTTATAAGCCTTCAAATTTTTCTATTTTAGGAATCCATTCCTTCCAACACACAATTGCTCCAGGATCGAAGAAGAGAACTCGGTAAGAAACCTTTGTTCTATATCTTTAAAAAAAAACGCAATTAAATGCATTGAAATTGAACAGATCTCCAAACATTTTTAAATTTCGAAAATTAGTCACTGATGATTTGCGGCATACATCATCGGTGCGCGAAGAAGCAAAACTCCTTGAATTACTTTCAATCTAATGATGTACTCTATCTTAATAAGCCTGTGATATCATTTTTTCTAAAAGTAAAGTAAGATAGTTAAAATTTGATTTCGAAGGAACTGTTCGGCCGATTTCGTTTAAATTTTGTTTTGCTTTTTGACGTAAAGAATTGCATTTTTAAAAAGCATGTAAAAAATTTGCATGCCTTGCAATTCGAAAGTTTTTCCCTATCATTAAATAAAACGATAAAAAAATTATAAATATTGATTAAAAATAATTTTTTCAGCACTGAATAATTTTTTTGCACTCCAAATAAATTAATTTCATAATTATGTGCGAAAATGCTTCAATTCGCTTAAAAGGTTCTCGAATTTCGGCGAATTCACTAAATGTAAAATTAGCAGAAAGTTCGAACATATGATTTTTTTTTTTGATTTCAAAGGAACTGTTCGGCCGATTTCGTTTAAATTTTGTTTTGCTTTTTGACATAAAGAATTGCATTTTTAAAAAGCATGTAAAAATTTGCATGCCTTGCAATTCGAAAGTTTTTCCCTATCATTAAAATGATAAAAAATTACAAATATTGATTTAAAAAACTATTTTTTGCACTGAATAAGTTTTTTGCACTCCAAATAAATTAATTTCATAATTATGTGCGAAAATGTTTCAATTCGCTTAAAAGGTTCTCGAATTTCGGCGAATTCACTAAATGTAAAATTAGCAGAAGGTTCGAACATTCGATCACTCCCCTGAACTCACTATTGGGGATATATTTCCTAGATTGCGGCCACCCCTCAGTGTTTTAGAGTTAGAAATCATAATACACCGAGAAATATACATTTATTCAGAGAAAGTAGATTTTTGTGTTTAGTTTTGCAACTTAAAATATCACTAATTATGTTTGAAATCACCCCCTTGAACCATTAAAAGTTGAGTCCTCGTGCGTGAAAATCCAACAAATCAAAAGTTATTTAAGATGTTTTGTTGCTTTTTTATTTATTGAGATAATTCAAAATCTAAAATTTTTATATCTTAGGGCGAAAAGTTTTAAATGAGTTTTAAAAAGTTATTTTTAAAATACACTGAAATGAAATTAAAGTTTTTTAAAAATTCACAATGGCAACATTGCGTTTTAAGCGGGGTTTTTTTTCTTTTTTTTTGTATGAATATGTTCTCGACACTTACATATTCGAATTATAAGGAAATCTTTTATAAAATGAAATAAAATACTTTCATACATTGGCTGAAAATGCATTTATTTGCTGGAAAAAAAGCATTTGGCTCCATTTTTACTCTTATTAAATCATGACATAGTGAGTTTTTTTTTAAAAAAACAAGTTATCATTTTTGAGATGTCACAAGCTGAGCCATTTCTTGCTTTTTTTAATTATTTTTTTTCCTATTTCAGTAACATCTATGTTTTTAGATTTGTTTGTTTATTTTTGCACAAAACACAATGTTGATTACAATTTCAAATTCAAAATAAAAAGCAAAGAATCGAATAAAATGAAGAAAATCAGTGATTTTTTAAACAAAAATGATATACAAAAAAGAGAGAACCGCCTAAAAGCAAATGTAAAATTAAAGTTTTAAAACAAGCAATAACTTGTTCTCCTTTTTTTGAAGCTCTAATAATATATAACGCTTCAATTAATAATAAAATAATATATAATAAAAGAAACTCAATAATTTTAAAACAATTTATTTTAGAGAAAATAAGTTTGTTCTTAACCATATACTTTAATTGTAAAAATCACGTTTTTTTAACCATAAGATTGCTTTTATTGTAAAATGTTCTTTTGAAACTGTGATCGATTCACAATATATATATATGCTAAGGTATATAATAAATATGCTAAGTTAACTTGAAATTCGAAATTTTTCTAATTCTGAAATTCGAAACATTTATTTTACTAAATACTAGTCAGTTTTGCAAGAGGTGAAAAATGCCCCATAAAATCTTTTTGCTTAAGTTTTAGAAACAATTATATTCACCTACATGGCTAGGATAAAACAGTATTCTTTAACCAAGATTTTGATGAATAATTTTATTTTGATGATAGAAGAAGCATCGGAGGACCTTGCGCTAAATATTAAAAAAGACCACAATTAATTGACAGAAATTATACAAAGAACACAGCTAAATTTTTTTTAATTAAAAAAAAATAAGACATAAATGAATTAACAAATATATTACATTCAAAACTAAGTTTCGGGAAGAAATTTTTTTTAGTACTACCAGCATGAAAGGACGCAGAAATGGTCTTGCCAAAACTAGACAAAGGTCCCAGCAAGTAGGTCACCCACAAAAGAACATTAAAAAACTGCATGAAAGACAAAGATATTCGGGTTAATATAGCTAATGAGCCAAACACGAAATCACACGTCTTAAATCAGTAAATAATTATCGAATATAATAAAATAAAATTTAGAGATAGATGAATGAAACAAAAATTTTAACGCTACTAAATCGAAATTTGTAAAAATTACGATAAATTAAACATTGCTACTCTAAAATATCTGTAATATTAAGTCATTTAAAAATGTATAAATCAATTTAAAATAAACTAATATGCATATTAAATTAAATTTAAAATATTATTTCGTCTTTAATTTATTAATTTTATTATAAGTGGAAATTATTCATTCAATTTAATTAGTCTTTGTAATACGGTGGTGGAAAGGTCTTTATATTAGAATCTATTTATAAATAATTCATACATTTTCTAATGTTTGTTAATTCATTCTGTGCACTGAATTATTTTTTTCTTAACCAATGTTTTTTACTTATTTTTATATTTGTTTTTTTAAATAGCTAGTTTTGATTATTATAGTTTTATATTTTTGGTTTGATTATCACTGTCTCATACGTCAAAAACATGCCTTATTATTTTCATTGAATAAGTACATAAAATATTATTAGAAATGTTATTTAATTTTAAAGTCGCGAATTATTTATTAGACAGTTTTTAAGCTTTGCTCAAAATTTCCAAAGCGTTTGTTAGCTTGTTAAACGCTAGTGGTAAACTTTACGAATAAAAGCTGAATAATTAATGTTGTAAATATTTATTTTATTCTTAATTTTTTTTTTTTTTAAAGTAATTTTGTCTCTAAGGGTAGCCAACATTTGTCTTTAATATCGTTTCACGAGGAAAATGTGAAATTCCAGGTTTTACTTCAATAAGTCTCCTATACTATCAGAGCTGACCTATCAAGCAATATTGGAGCAAACAAGTTCGCAAGTTAACGTTATGTTAGTATTGTGCTTATGTTAGCTCTTTGTTCCAAAAATAGATGATGAGTCTACCTCAAAAAACATTTTATGACGTCGAAATTTTTTTTCCCCAATCTACTGTTATCGGTGAACATAAGTACATAGCATAACGAACATAAGTAGCAAACATTGCTTACCGTTCCTCCTTTTCCGTCAACTGCTTAGGGAATAAATCAGACAAGTGCTGATTTCGAAGTGTGTGTGTAATTTTATTGCAGAAACAGTCTACTTATATTTTTAGTCTATGTATCCAATCGAGAAAATTTTTACCAGTAAAGAATCCTAGAAGGAACTCAAACAATTCCCTAGATGTTTATCTATTTATTGCTTTTTTTTTCAAAACTAAATATGAGTTTTGAATGTTTGAAAGTTTTGAATGTTAAACATAAGTTTTGAAACTAAATTTAAGTTATGTTTGAAAAATTTGAACTGGCAATATCATTGAGTCAAAGAAATAAGTTATTCATTTTGTTTGTGTTTAGCAATTTTCTGACTCGATTATGTCCTGCCATGAGTAGAGAAAAATCAAAAGCCTTGTCCAAAGGATACAGTTTGGCGCTAATGCGTGTAAATTATAAAGAGTAATATTAAAAAATTCTTTCTAAAAAGTAAACTTGTTATTTTATTTGTTTTTTAGACAGATTTTGTTTGTGGAACGATTTGATATGCTCACCCATGTTACATACCATTTTTGCGATTTAGAGCAAAATGTAAGAATTTTTTAAGTAATAAATGTAACTTTATTTGCTCGAAGTACAATTTTTATTTTATTTTAGGGAGAGGGGTGCGTGTTTATGTTTCATGGGCACGAATTTTATGTATGAATTCTTATGTAATTATTTATACATATATTTTTTAAATTTTTCTTCCAGCGTCTTTCTGCTGAAAATTCGCAGTTGAGGAGTTCTCTGTCTTCACTAGAAGCAGCCAACGTAAGAACTTTTACATTTTATAGAAACTATAAGTTTTGTTAAACTTAAAAATATAATCACTGTCAGGAGACAACCGGATTCAGACATTCCACTTAAATTATTAAGAGTGTATTTTTCATGGTTTGATTTACATGGGTCCCTTAGTTCCATGTGGTTGGATTCTGATATAGGCGTGGATATTCTTTCCTAACTATGTGTTTCAATTTTAGCCCATTTCTCTTCCAACTGGCTTCATTCAAACATTGAGACTTCCAGTTTTATTTTATTTTGAAACCGTCGTTGAACAGCCAACCCAATTTTGATTTAACGCCTACCTATTATCATTTCCGTAGCCTTGCAATTTTGAACCCAATCCAGAAGATAAGGGAACCCCAGGATCAAGTATAGGGAGAAATTTTGCTTTGTTGGAGTTCCTCTTGGCGGAACTAATCCACATTTGCGTTACGTGGAAAGGAAAGCCACGAAAATCATCCTCGGTTAGTCTAACGGCAAGGGGAATCTAACCAATGATCCGTCTGCAACTGAGGATATTTTTATGTAAGGACTGGGGTCGGTGGTAGCCGTTTGAGGAACTTGTATCGACCAGCCATGGCTTAGGATCGAACTCGGTTCTCTCCATTGAGAGGTGAGCGCTCTATCTCCTAAGCTACCACAACTCGAGATTTGAAACTTTATAACCGCCGTTGAACAGTTGACTTAATTTTGGGTTTACGACATCTAATATTCATCTCCATTGCCTTGTCATTTTTAGTCCAACCCAAAGACAAGGAAACTCATGGATAAAGTATAGGGAGACATTTGCAATCGTGGAGGACTTCAAGAGACTTGCAACTTGTCAAAATAGGTTTTCAAAAACTGGAATGATTTTCTCAGGACCCTAATTTAATATCCTTAAGGAGAATTAGAACACAGCCAAATCATACAGTGCAGGTTGTCAAGACGTGTACAGACTGTCATCGATGATGCAGGATACCGACGAGGCAAAAGGACAGGACTAACGCTCAGATGTCAAACTCTCAGAAGCTGGCTTTTTTGAATGAAAAAACTAGTTTTTATGTGTCATTGAATGAGAAAAATAGAGCGTAGCAAGAAAAAGTTCAGTGCGATTTTATCCTTAACGTTTGGAGGGTTAAAATATGCTTCTACAAGCCCGTTGCATAAGGGTGTTTTGATACTTTTTACCAAATATATTTTAAAAACAATTATTTTTGTAAAATATCTTTATAAAAAAAAGATCAAATAGTGTTTTAAAAATATTAATTGCTAGTGATGAATAGAGTATTTTTTATCACGGATGTGGAATTTTTCAATTGTTGTGTAGTGTTATTTAGATTAAATATACATTGTCGTATATTAAAAGATTATTCTTACTGCCAGCAATTTGTCTATTGCCATATGAAATTTGAAAAAATGTTACCATAATTTATGTGGAATACAGATCCGATCTACGAAGCATTCATCCTATCACGTGATGATATCAAGGACACTTACCTCTACATTTACTCTTCCTTTACAGTTTACACCATGTAGTTGGAATGACTGGCTCGGGGAGGATGCCAGTGGAAATTGTAGCTTATTTTGTTTACCACTCACTGAATGATACAAGCCCATTTAATGATACCTAGAAAATTAAATGAATGACTTTGAAGATCGTTAAATACATAAGTTAGGTACAATATAATAGTAAAAAAAGTTTTTACTTCAAGTTAGATAATAAGACAAGAAATATACTTTCTTTGAATGAACGCACTTTCTTGCGATAGATTTTTGGAAAGTATCTCATGGCAAATATCTCGAAAACGTGGTTCCAATTAGGGAAAATGGTCAAACATTTCAACATTTTAATATTTACATGTTTTATCGGATAGTATTATCGCTGTTAAATGATAATTTGCTTGCAGTCAAATATGATAAAATAAGAAAGAAGATAAAATAAGAACATCCTACTTTTCAACGCAGTTTTCAGAACTGTTTATTACTCATTCAAAAGTTTTTACTTTATTCTAATTTAAGTGGAATGCTTGTCAAATAATTCATAAATCTTTCATTTCCATACAGCGATCCTTACTCGAGCGACTAGAGCAGAGTGAGAGGGAAAACCGAAGATTGTCGCTCCATGCAGCACTTTTGGTGAACGTTATGGCGAATAATTCAGCATCTGGACCAGCCCCATCTGCTGCACCGGCACCCTCTGCTGCACCCTGTCCTGATTCCGCCCCCTCACCTGGACCTGCATCCTCCACTGATTCCACACCCCCTCCTGGACCGACACCATCTCCTGGATCCTCACCCTCTCCTGGACCATCTTCTGGATCCTCTCCTGATTCCACATCCTCTTTTGGACCGACATCCTCACTTGGACCGACACCATCCCCTGGATCAGCAGCATCTCCTGGATCCTCACCTTCTACTTCTGACCGATCAAGCACCCCGACCACTCAGTCCAGTTCTCCAGCACCTCCCAGTTCTCCAACACCTCCTACATCCCCTTCAGGTAAGGGATACTATTTTATATTTATAAATTTTTTTTTCAGAATAGAGAAGCGCGCGAAACATGGCTGACGACTATGCTTCGTTTATAGATAGATCATTTGATTAAAAAATTTCACTTACCTGGATCTTCCACTAAGTTTTTCAATTAATATAGCAAAAATTATTTCACTTTTTTTGTTTAATATTATTTGTTTCCCTAATCTTTACGTTACTGAAGTAACGTAAAGGCTTTACGTTATTGAAGTAAGCAAAACTAGCTTTTTGTAGTTTTCCCTGTCGAATAAAGATAAAATGTATTTAGCATCACATGGTATGATGCTACTGCTCGCGGCCATCTCATAAAAATGAAAATTTACCACTATCAAGTAAATTTCTTCGGTACGTATCCCTTTCGAGGGATCATAATTATCCGAATAATCGGTTTTAAGACATAGTATTGGTGCTGTTTTTAATAATCACCAATTATATCAATAGAATATTTTATACCTATATTAGAATATTTGGTACCTATTACATTGACCCTTCAGGATTTGAGTTTTAGTAAAAATGAATTTGTCAGTGACAGCGGCCATGTAAAGTCGAAATTTGTATGAAATAATATAATTCTTATTGATATTTGATAAGGATTTTGGTGCATGACCAATTCTCTAATTTATAGTAATCTAAACACTCAAAAAAGTCAGATTTTTATAATTCGATTTCTAAAAATTCTATTTCCCTCAAATTTTGCAGTTTGTTATGTATATTCTTTAAAATGATGCAAAAAATTGTATAGCTTACAATTCAAAATTTTTGGACAATTATTAAATAATGAAATAAATGTTTATCAAAAGATATTTATTGCGTGGCATTATCTTTGGACAAATGAATTTAATAGTTGCGTGCAAAAGTTTTTTAATTCACTTTAAAAGATCCCGAGTTATAGCAAAACACGCAAAAAGTCTAATTAGCATTAAGGGCTCCAAACTTTGGAGCGGTCTCTTGATCAAACTATAGGGACCATATTTCCCAGACTGCGGCTCCCCCCTATATTTTGGATCTCAGAAATCCAAATCCCTAAAAAAAAGGCACAGAGACAGTACGTCAAACAACGCTATAAGCTAGCAATTATCACTGATGCATCTTTAAAACATGTGAATATTGATTCGGTAAATTTAAAACAATGACTAACGCTTGGCCAATTAAATAACTCCATTTAAAAGATCGCTCAACCTACTGAAAGGATTTGTCGTAGAATGTTCGAATGTCAACAGAGACCTTCCTCGTGCTTCGAACTATCGACATGCCAAGTTACATATCTTTCAGTCTGATGTTTTAGGAGTCCATAAAGTATACGCGCATACAGACATTCATTTATATATATATATATATATATATAAATTAGTGTCTGTATGCG